ACCAAGGAGGAGACGATGAATTTTTTTACCTTGATGACTACTAGGTAGTCGACATGGGTCCGGCAAAACGTGCCTCACCCTCCAGCATCCAACCCAAGGAGCATACCCGTGGTGGAATCCAAACAGATCCCTGCCTTACAATTGGAACATTCTCAGAACTTAATCTCTGAGCATTGGATATTGAAAAGAAAACCGAAACAAAACCAAACCCAGCCCTACACTTTGGTTCGTCATGGTGTCAGCACAGCAGCCTATAACTAAGTTCCTAAATGCCACTATGGACTCATTTAAAAAAGAATCCCAGTTTTTACTTTTACTTGACGGTGAAAATTGGTTCTTCTTGTATTTTATGGGGGGAAAAAAGATTTTTTTAACCTTCATACATAGAAGCAAAAATACTTTAACTGCTGTAAAACCTTCAAAAGTTACTAGATGAGAGATCATACTGGTTTGTTTCTTATTTTGATTGGAGAAGAATTAAATTGCTGCATTTCACAGTGACCCATTTACATGGCATTCTCAGCTTAGACTGCATAAGAAGAAATATATGTGGTGAAATGTTGGGGGGGAAAAATAGTGACTCTCAAAAAACAAAAAACATTCAAAAAACTCCAAGCAGTGATTTCTTGTTGTTATGCACCAGTGAGCTGCCTGCAACTCATAGCGACCCTATGGACAACAGCCCTAAACCCTGCTCTATCCCTTGCCAATCTTATTTTCTCTGACACACCTACCCCCATTACTCCAGTCACTGAATGAATCCATCTCATTGAGGATCTTCCTATCTTGTGCTATCCCTCGACCCTCCCAAGCAACTTTCTCACATCCCTCTCTCCAAGGCCTGGTCCCTCCTTGCAACATGTACAAAGTATGTCAGATGAAGCTTCAGAATCCTTGCCTCCAAGGAGCAGCTTGGTCTCACTTTCTCCAGGACATATTTGTTTGCTCTCCTAGCAGTACATGGTATATTCAATACTCTTCTCCAGCACCACAGCTCAAAGGCATCAATCCCCCTTCTATCATCCCTAGTCATTGTCCAGCTTTCTGACAAATAGCAAGTAACTGTGAAGACTATGGCCTGGATCGGGGACACCTTAGTCTCCAGACTGACATCGTTGCTCTTCAGTACTTTGGAGAGATCTCTGGCAGCAGACTTTCCCAGTGTAATTTGTCTTTTAATTTCCAGGCTGCTGGTACTAAGACGATTGTGGAGCCAAGGAAACTGAAGCTGTTAACAATCTCAATCTCTTCACCATTCATCATGATACTGCCCACTGGCCCAGTGGTTTTGGTTTTTTGATGTTGAGCTTCAATCCATATTGAAGGCCACAGTCCTTGACAATCTGCAGCAAGTGTTTCAGGTCCCCCTCAGTTTCAGCAAGCAGGGTTGTGTCATCTGCATAATGCAGATTGTTCATGAGTTCTCCTCTAATCCTGATGCCACATTTCTCCTCATAGAGCCCAGCCTTCCAGATAATTTGTTCTGCATACAGACTGAAAAGGTATGGAGATAAGACACATACCTGGCATACCCCTTCCCAGTTTTAAACCATGCAGTGTTTCCTTACTCTGTTCTGACAACTGCCCCCTGGTCCAAGTATAGGTTTCGCATAAGCACAATCAAATGTTCTGGTATTCTCATTCTTCTCAGTCAGCAACAGTTTGTTGCCATATACACAGTCAAACACCTTTGCACAGTCAATGAAACACAGATAGACATTCCTCTGGTACTTTCTTCTTTCAGCCAAAATCCATCTAACATTAGCTATAATATCTCTAGTAGTAGTATAATATCTCTAGCCTCTTTTAAACCCAGCCTGAACTTCTGGCAGTTTTCTGCTGATGAGCTCTTCCAATTGTTTATGGATAATCTTAAGCAGTATCTTATTTGCATGTGATATAAATGATATTGTCCCATAATTTCCACACTCGGTCAGGTCACCTTTCTTTGGAATGGGAACAAATAAAGATCTCTTCCAGTCAAATGGTCAGGTGGTTGTCCTCCAGGTTTCTTGGCACAACTTGGTGAGCACATCCAGGGCAGCATCTGTTTGTTGAAATGTGTCAACCGGTATGTCGTCAATTCCTGAGGCCTTGTTTTTTGCCAATTCTTTCAGAGCAGCATCACTACAGGCTCTTGCTCATACGTTGTTTCATGAAATTCTTCTGTGTCCGCCAATTCCTTTTGGTACAACAACTCTGTATATTCTTTCCGTCTTTTAATGCTTTCTGGATCACTTAATATTCTGCTCAAAGCATCCTTAAGTACTGCAACTTTGAGGCTTCAATTTGTTATTTTTTAGTTCCTTCAGATGAAGTAATGTTGAGTGAGTTCGACTCCTTTGCTGTTCTGACTCCAGCTCTTTGCACATTTCATTATGATACTTTGTTTTCCCGTGCTATCCTTTGAAATCATCTATTCATCTCAATTACTTGATTTCTTCCCTTTGCTTTTGCTTCTTGATGCACTAGTGCAATATTCAGAGTCTCTTCTGATATCCATCTTGGTATTTTCACCCTCTTCTGTCTTTGCAATGACCTTTTGCATTACAAAAGGGTCTTAAAATCTTTCAGGCAGACATCTAAGAGGCAACTTGTTTCTTGATGAATGTGGAATGAAAAACAAAGACACGTAGAAACAATTAGTCCAAAGGGCTAATGGACCATGAAAACTTCAACTTCCACAATCCTGAGACAAGAACTAGATAGTAGCAAGCTACCTCTGTTGACCACTGTAAAAGAGATCAAAGATCCAATACAGAGTGGGTGAAAAATATGCAACAACTTAAAATCAATAAAAATGGTCAGTCTTAGAAACCAATAGAACCCCAGAGACTATGATACATATGGCTCAGCAATATAAAAGACAGGCCTATAAGGTAAACAGTAACACCAAGTAAGCACTCACCCCTGAGAATTATCAACTAGATAAGATCAAGAGAGCAGCTTCTGACCAGGAATACAGCCAAGAAGAGGGAGCCCTAATAGTGTTGTCCGTATCGAGTTGCATGCTGCTCACTTAAACATCTCCATTGATTTGAAAATGTCAACAGCTCTGTGAAGAGAAAGATAGGCAATTTTCCGGAAGCAGTGATGGGGAAAGATAGACGGGGAAAGAAAGACATGGAGATCTAAAGGAACCAGGAAATGAGCTGAAGAGAAAAGGATCTTCCCCCTAGGGCCAACGGGGGTGGGAATGGGGGTGGGGAGTAGTTCCCCCCCCCCATTAAAGTCACCATGCTGAAGTAAGACTTCAAGCATTTCAAATTGTGAGGAAACAATTTTGTTGAAGCCATCCACTTCCGGAATTTCTGTTAGAGCAGCTGTAGATTTATACATACAGGGACAACGTACGTCAATAGATAAAGAATAACTCTGAAAGGGCACTAAAAGTCTGCTAACAGTGAATGTGGCAGGGGGATGGGGGACGACGACAAACACACAACAAAGTTACTTGGACACAGAAATAGAAGAGACTTATTTTTCACTGTATACCTTTTAGTCATGGTGATCTAATAGGTGTCAGAATAGAAGTATTCTCAGTAGGGTTTTCTTAATAAAATTTTTTATGCTGGTTTATTTACAAAGTTTGTATGCATTGTTTTTCACACCAGATCTTTCCCTTTCCTTTACCCATCCCTCCTTCCACCCATCAAATTGTGCAACCTTATGATTAAGCCTCCCTCCCTCACCACCCATCTTCACCCCTTTCCTCTGCTCTCTGCTTTGGATCCTCATACACATTCTACAATAATGCTCAGTAGGGTTTTCAATGATTGATTTTCCAGAAATAGGTCATCAGAATTTCTTCTGTAGAACAGCCGAAAATCCTAATCTTTTGCACCACCCAGGGACTCATGTAGCCTTTTCTCTCTTTCATTGCCATTGAGTCTAAACTCATAACTGATCCTTCAGTGAGTTTCCAACGCTATAAATCACATGGGAAGATATTCTCCATTTTTTCCATCAGAGTGGCTAATGGATTCAAACCACAAGAGGTGCTTACAGTAACCTTTGCATTTACAGTGCAAATCCCTACAGACTACGCCACCAAGTTTAAACTGTATATCATGTACATGCATTATTGAGTCAAATCATAAAGAAATCTATAAAGAGAAATGAAGTTATGATACATGCTACAATATAGGTTGTAACAGATTCTTTCAACCTTGAAAACACAATATTGAGTGAAATAAGTCAGCTATAAAAGGATAAACACCATCAAATGTATAGACTGGGACATTTCTTGTGGGTTACCAGAAACTAAGGCTGGAAACTGTTGCTAAAAGGATGTCAAATTTCTATTTGGGGTGACACAAAACTTTGGAAGTGAACAGTGCTCATGGTAGCACACGGCAAATAAAATTTGTCACTAAATTCTATACTGAAAAAAATGGTTAAACTGACAAATTTTTTGTTATCTACATTTTTGTCTCAAATGCAGCAACAATTGTGAGGTGGTGCTTCATTCTTATACTGATCTGACAGCACCTAACAACATGAGCATTTTGTCACAATAAAATTAAAACAAATAGTTAAAATGTAAAGGAAAAGTTAACTTTCAATATAATCCTAATGTTGTTGTCAGATGCCTCTGTGTGAATTTCAACTCATTGCCACCAGAACACAGAGTCTGAGTAGAACTGCTCCATAGGGTTTTCAAGGCTGTGACCTTTTCAGAAGTAGACAGTTCTAAGACATTTTTGTTAGGTTCAAATAATCAACGTAGGAGTTGATTTTCAGCACTCCTATTTTCTGGTGGTTTACGGTCAAACTCAAGGTGTCCTGAGATCTGACTCCATATTTCTTTTTCCATGCCATGCTATCACCCTTTTGGGTCTTGGCATAAGCAAGGCTGAGGTGCTACTATCCACATATTTCAGGCCCCCTTGCCTAGAAACGAATTCACCCTTCAAGATGTAACTTTTGCATCAGGTCATCCAAGAAGACCTCTCTGACCCACAATTGTGGGTGGTGGTGTTAAGTGCTATCTAATCAGCACCCAACTCATGGAAATTCAATGTACAACAGAACATAATGTTGCCTATCTTTTGTAACCCTCAGTATTGGCTGTAGACTGAACAAGTATAAATTGGGAGGGAAATTCCCCACCTAAAGCAACAGCTGTCATCCAGTCAATGCAGATTCATGGTGATCCAATGTATTTCAAAGTAGAACTATGCTCCATATAGTCTTTAAATGGCTGATATATCAAAAGTACATTGCCAGGCATTTCTTCTGAGGAATCTTTGGGTGAACTTGAGCCTCTAACTTTTCAGTCAGCAACGAAGTATATCAAAATTCGCACCACTCAAGGTCTCTAAGTAAATTTTAGGGGCCTTGATAGCCATACTTAACCAACCTCCACTTGCATCCTTACTCTGCATGTCTCCTATCATTATGTGAGTATTTGTACCTAAAACTCACTAAAATGTGAGCTCCAAAGATGAGAGAGAAGCAGCTGACAAAAACTTCAGGAATCCTATGACACCATGCCAGGCCTCGTATATATTTATTTGTTCTTGTAGGGGCTGGGGAGCTATGGAGATCTGGTAAAATTGGGCCATTAAAACCCACAGGGCATATGTCCAGGTCAGAAAAGAATTGGCATTTTACACTAGGATTGTAAGGATGAGAGAGAAAGGAAAAAAACTAGTTAACTTCCCAGGAGATTTAGGAAGGAAAAGCTTTGGGACTTGGTAATGGACAATTAAACAGATCTCGGATACTAGCTAAGAGTAAGGAAGAGCCAAGATGCCCAAATATGCAACCTGGACAACTGGATGATTTGAGGTAGTGCTGTTACAAGCTGGAATCAGAATTGAGGAAGGAGCTTAACAGAGCATGTTTCTTCCTTGGACTTGTCACAGCTTGGCAAAGAATGTTCCATGGAGCCCATAGGAATTGAGTGAAAAACGTTTATCTCACTACCATCATGGGCAGACTTTGTGGGAGCCATGCTGAAGTTATGTGACAACTTCTCACAGCCCTGGGTGTGGTAGCCAGATCTAGGTAGCCAAGAAGAATGGGGACAGGTACCTTAGCCACATTGGTTTTATTTTCAACAGCATCTACTATTTTCATCACTGGAGAATGCAGCCACTTGAACTTCATTTCAAGCGGGCCCTTGTCATCCAGCAACTCAGATTCTCCAGTGGCCAAGCCTTTAACACAACCAACACTGTCAGAGCCATGGTTCCTACTTGCTGCCAGTTCCCTAGTCTAGCCTCAGTGAAATGATGTGGATACTGCCCAGACTAGGGAGGATTTTTTCGTTCTGACAGAGGCCATACAACAGAAAAGACTAAAAGTTTCAGTTTTTCATAGCAGAAACCAGGGTTTACATTGCATTTGCAACCTGGGAGCCTAAACTGGAAAATTTGAATGCCATAATCCCTATCACACAAGGTTGTTCTAAGAGTCATAGCAATGGATGCCTATAAAGTGCTGGACTGACAGTTTTCACAATGGCAGCCAGTGGGCAGGACTGGGATTCACTCCTATTTCTAATGGTCCACTGCCAGAAGCTGTCCTCCACAAAAAACCACAAATGTGCTTTTGCTCTATGTCTCACACGACTATCAAGCCTGCTTCTACAATTCTGCTTACCTACCATCCATCCCCTTCTCTGGGCCTTCTAACCCCTACTTATCCTTCGAATATAAGAGAGCTGGACAATGACCAAGTATGACAGAAGAACTGATGTCTTTGAGTTGTGGTATGGGAGAAGAGTACTGAACATACCATGGACTGCCAAGAGTCTGTCCTGGAGAGGGTGAAACCAAGCTGCTCCTTGGAGACAAGGATTCTGATACTCCATCTCACATAGTCTGGGCATGTAGCCAGGAGGGACCAGTCTTTGAAGAAAGATACCATGCTTGGAAGGGTCAAGGGGAAGCAGCGAAGAGGAAGATCCCTGATGAGCTTGATTGACAATAACTAGGGTAGTGAGATGGGCTCAGGATAGAGTAAGATTCAAAGCTATTGTACAAAGAGTTGCTATTAGTCACAGTTGACTGGAGACATAACAATAACCCTCAAGAAATCCTCACTAGTAACCTCTCAACTTTTCAGACCTCAATTTTTTGCCAAAGAATATTCTCCATGATGGAGTCACTCTTGCCCTCACATCCAGTCAGGGTCAAATGTCACTAGAACATGAGCTGTAATTCCTTCTGAAGACACACATTTGATAAAAGATGAAACTGAAATTCAGAAAAGGGGTTGATTTGCTCCAAGACAGGTAGGGAATAAACTATGACACAGACAAGTCTTCCTATCTTCACCAAGACTCAGAGAAGGAAAACTATTGGCTTGTAAGTGAAACTAAAGCCAGACAAGTGAGAGCTTTTCAACTATGCCAAGAATTTCCACAGACTAGACATTTTATTATACTTCAATGCGGTAGAGAAGGAATCAAGAGCCATACACCCAGCCTACAAAGAATAGTGTCTGGCAAAAGTTTTTGAAAAGAACCTATTTCCTCCAGGAATTTTTTGAAGTCCCACTTCTCAACTCTAGAAAATAATCGCCTAAATGACATTTTCCACATTTACTGAGTATTATATGTAAGGTTTGTTTTATATTTTAAATAAATCTTCACAACAACCCCATCAAGTTGATGCTATCTTTGTTTTATAGATGACAACACTGAGGCACAGAGTGTCTTATTCAGGATCACAAAGCTAATTAAAAAAAGTTTAGATTTTGAAGTTTATACTTGCAACCAATTAGCTACTCTGAGTTACGAAGACTAAGACAAGACAGGAAAACTGGTTCCAATATACTTCTGTCCTATACCAACACTGCCACCAAGCCTGTTTCCACAATTCTGCCTACTATCCCTTGTCTGAGTTTTTTAATCCTTGTCACTTGCCTTCAAGCAGGTATTACTTGTCCATGACTCAAGATTCCTTATCAGCCACTGGGGATAAGAATAAATATAAAATTGCTGTGGAAATGTCTATAGTAACATTAGAGAAATATCTTAGTCCACTACAGACCCCAAGAGATAGGGGGATGCAACCTCCTATTTCCTCAGCACCTTAATGTGCACTTTGCTGATTTCTTTCATATCTATCAGAAATCACAACTATCCCCTAGTACACAAATTCTCCACTTTTTAAGACAAGATTAGAGCTTTTCAACTTTTCTAATACCAGAGTAGGGCTAAGGAATGGGGAGGTCAAAAGTGATATTTGCTGTCAGGTTTGTGAGGTAAGATAAAGGTTTGAATAGGTTAGTCCAACCCACTTCCACTTACATTCCATTGTGTCTTCATTGGCCTGTTCAGTATGCTCAATGTCAAAAGCCTCTGTCATTTCCTTAACAATCTCAGCACTGAGGTGAGTTGGCAAAGTGTGAGTAGATGGTGGTAGTGTATAGAAGCTGATCTTCCCACTGCATTGATAGGCAGGAAGAAAAAAAACCCAAACCACACAATCAGTGGTGATATCATTAAGAGAGCAAATCAGAGTGTATGCTTCTTGGTATGTGCTCCTGCACTATGTCTTTCTGCTGTCCTCCCCTCTAAATCCCATGATGCCAGTGGATGGACCTCATCAAGAGGTTCAGGCCCCTGAATCTGCAGGAGGGGGATGAGTGGCCTAAGTACCTGCTGCAGATCAAACACAGTGGAGATAGATGAGCTGGGCAAAGTGCTGATGCTCACCCAGGTGAAGAACCACACCACCAGCATCACATAGGATGGCCGAGATTCATGTAAACTCTATACCTTTGTCCTAACAAACCTAGATGCTCCCAGCAGGAAGGACCCCAAATTCAGGGAATGACATCATTTTCTGGTCATCATTATGAAAGACAATGACATCAGCAGTGGCATAGTCCTCTCTGGTTATGTGGGCTTTGGCTGGCTGGTTTAGAAACAGGACAGAACACTGAAATGTGATAAACCCATTCTGAGCAATCAATCAGGAGACAACCAGGGCCAATTCAAGGTGGGATCCTTCCGCAAAAAGTATGAGCTCAGGTTCCCAGCACTTGCTACCAGTCCGAATGGGATGACTATATGCTCAAGCTCTTTGAGCAGCTGTCCAGGAAGTAGAGAACAAGCCAAGACTTTAGAAAGCTCTGGAGCTGCTCGGGCCTCTTCTTCAACTCAGTGATGCATGTAGATTTCTTCTCTTCTTGACTCTCATACTCATTAGTGACAATTTCGGCACACATCCAGTTTCTATTTTAAAGTCTATTTGTGGGGAGATATTTTGGTACTGTCATGGAGCCATCAAATTGTTACTATAAAAACTAGCAACTTAGAGTTTAAATTAAAAAAAAATCTAGGTGCATATACCAAGTTTATAGCAGTAGAGCATCAATGTGGTCTTTAAAAGAGGCTACAGCAGCAGTAAGGATGGACAGTAGTGCTGTGTGTGTGTGTGTGTGTGTGTGTGTGTGTGTGTGTGTGTGTGTGTGTGGTTACTGGGAGTTCTGAAATCAGTGCATATTAAACTGATTGTTCTTCCTTGGTATAACTGAAGCTAAACTGGAGTTACTGAATGTTGTGTTAATTTTGCTACGTATAGTTGAATAAAAACAAAAACACTGAGTGGATTGACAGAAAACAAAACCAAAAACCCAAACAAAACAAATTAATTGTTATGTGCTGTCAAGTCACTTGCCACTCATAGCAACCCTATGCACAAGAGCCCTAAACCCTGCTCTATCCTGTGCCAACCTTATTGTCTCTGACACACCTACTCCCATTAACCCAGTTATTGAATCGATCCAACTCATCGAGGGTCTTCTGTGGCACTGTCCCTCCACCCTCCCAAAATTGATATCCCTCTTCAAGGACCAGTCCCTCCTTATAACGTGTCCAAAATATGTCAGATGAAGCTTCAGAATCCTTGACTCCAAGGAACAGCTGGGCTTTACCCTCTCCAGGACAAACCTGTTTGTTCTCCTAGCAGTCCATGGTATATTCAATACTCTTCTTCAGCATCACAGCTCAAAGGCATCAATTATTTTACTATGATCCCTAGTCACTGTCCAGCTCTCTGATGCAGAGCAAGCAATTGTGAAGACTATGGCCTGGATCAGGAGCACCTTAAGTCTCCAGACTAATGTTGTCGCTCTTCAGTATTCCGGAGAGGTCCCTGACAGGTGACTTTCCCAATGCATCTCATCTCTTGATTTCCTGGCAGCTGGTATCAAGAGTGTTGATTGTGGAGCCAAGTACACTAAAACTGTTAACAATCTCAATCTCTTCACCATCCATCCTGATGCTGCCAATTGGCCCAGTGGTGAGAATCTTTGTCTTCTTGATGTTGAGCCTCAATCCATACTGAAGCAGCAGGTCCTCCTCAGTTTCAGCAAGCAGGGTTGTGTCATCTGCATGACATAGGTTGTTGACGAATCTTCTTCCAATCCAGATGCCACATTCCTCCTCATAGAGCCCAAAATCCTGGATGATATGTTCTGCATATAGACTGAAAGGATATGGAGACAAGAGTACATTCCTGGCAGACATCATTCCCAATTTTGAACCATGCTGTGTCTCCTTCCTCTGTTGAGACGATTGCCTCTTGGTTCAAGTATAGGTTTCGCATAAGCACAATCAAATGTTCTATGATTCCCATTCTTCTCAGAGTCGGCCACAGTTTGTTATGATCCACACAGTCAAAAGCCTTTGTATAGTCAATGAAACACAGATAGACATTCCTCTGGTACTCTCTGCTTTCAGCCAAGATCCATCTAACATTCGTTATAATATCCATATTAACACGACCTCTTCTAAACCTAGCCTGCACATCTGGCAGTTCTCTATTGACGTGTTTGCTGCTCTAGTCATTTTTGGATATTTTTCTGCAGAATCTTGCTTCCATGTGATATTAATGATATTGTTCGATAATTGAATACTCAAGCAAAAAAGGGCATGAAACAATGATGAGACCCAGAGAGCAGCCCTCTGAAATACAAGGTTTGAGTTGTTAAGCTAACCACCTGGAGTTTTGACTTTCCCCTGCCAAGGATCTTAAAAGTCAGGCTAGAAGTCACACTAATGGCAATGAGAACAGAAGAGCCACCCTGGCACTTGGGCCTCACTCTTACCCCAATCCTTATTCTCACCTCTCCCAGTCAGCCAGGACAGCTCTGGCTGCCTGCTCCTGACTGTATATGCCTCTCTTCTTCTTCTTCCCCAAATGGCAGGTCACTGCAGTCAGAAAGTTCTGTGTTCTGGAACCCAGAAATGTTGTAATAGTTGGAAATCTAGTTTAGGGAGTAAAAAGAGAAGTCATGAAGAAGAACAAAGGGCCCTTGGTATGGGGATTGGGTACTACTAGCAAGTAGTCACACATACCTCCTCTAAATTGTAGCGCTGCAGCATGGTTTCCACTGAACTCACAGGATCTGCTAACTTCTGTACATGGATGCTGTTGTGCAGGATGGTACCCACCTCTGAGGATGGTCCTGGGACAATGCCTGGAGTATCTAGGAGCCTAATGAACTTGTCCAGGTAGACTTCTTGCATGAACCTGGGCCAGGAGATAGAAGAAAAGATGCCTGCTTTCCTACATGAACCTATATATAGCCTAGTATTCTATAGGCCCCAGTCTCAAGATTGGGCTTGAGTGGTAGGGGAAGTAAAGAGTAAGAAGTGAAGAGTATCTTATAGAGATAAGGAGAGATATATAGCATTGGGGACTTAGACTGATTCTAATCTAGCTGGACTGAGAACTGAACTGTAGCACCCTGGACATACCAAACATCAGTTGCTTCATCCAAGAAATAGAACCACTTATTACAGTCTTACAAAAATATTAGACAGCTTCAAGGAATTAATTGCAGAACCAAGCTGAGTGTACGGCCCACACTTGGTGCATGTCAGGTAAGTGAAGACTGTTACCAAGTTCCTATGCCTGGAGGAAAGATGAGGGTTAAGCACACACTGAGGAAAGAGGCAGAAATTACAGGAGTGGGAGCCAGGGAGACTAGTACTGTCAAGGAGTTGTGGAGGTAGAAGTAGGTAAGCGCTTACCTGGTGATTCCAGGAACAGCTCCTTCACTGCACACACGGTTACACTTCAGGCTATTGATCAGGCTGCTCTTTCCGACGTTGGGAAGGCCTACAAAAGAGCAGCAAGTAACTCAGGAAAGGAAAAGCTCTCAGGACCATTCACACCACTCTGTGTGAGGCCCTCCTGCCTTTCCACCTTAGTCCTTGACCAAGCCCCTCATGTTCTGGGCATGTCGGATAGACACATCCCTCTAGATGTGACACCCACTCCCTGCCCACAACCAGTGCAGGAAAGGTGTACAAATGCAAAGCCTCTGTGATGGTTAATGGAGAGGAGACATCAGGAAGTGCCGGTGAAACAGACAACTTTCTACACTGGCATGTAATCTGGCAGAGGGGGGTAGTGGGAATATCTTCAGATGCAGGTCTGTGTAACTGCCTATAGTGTTTTTGTTTGTTGGGGCACTTGTGAGAACTTGTAGGCCTGTACATACCTGTATTTCTCCATCACTGGGTATCTGATTCTCACTTGTAATAGAATTTATATGTAGGCACTATTCTTTCAAGTTTGTACCCTGTATATGGAAGTATCTATACATCTCCATCATTTCATTTTAAATATCACTGAGGTTTTTTTCCCCTCTCTTTTTGTATTTCTTACTCAGTATTCTTTACCATATCTTTCTAACTTTGTTCTCTATCTGTATCTAGTTATTATCTCTCATTCTGATCCTTGTTAATTCTCTGTGAGTCCTTACACCACCACTTCTGTTTCTTCATGTCAAATCCTCCTATCATCTGTCTACGGACTTGTGTACCTTATGTATGTATTTCTATGTGTTTCACTGTATCTCTTTTTTCTCCCTTTTCTTTCTCTAGACCTCTCAATACAGCTGTCTCTATTTCTCTACACTTAAACATCTGTACTTCTCTCAGTGACTTTAACTATAGGACTGTCTCTGGACACATGCTCTGCTGTGCCCAGTCTTTCTGTAACTGTGTTGGGATAGGTGTATGTATGTAGGTCTTCATTTGCCCACATTGTGCCTATGGATGTATGTTAATCTCTACACAGGCATTGTTGGGTCTATTTTGTATGCCCACATGTGTGTACACATGTTCCTTTATGCCTACATCTTTGTTCTTGTTTTTATCTTTCTTCTAATTAGTCTCTCTATTCCTGTGGGTATGTCTCTTTCTGGTTCTCAGAATATGTATGTATGTCTGCATTGCTACATAAATGAGGTATCTCTAAGTATCTCTTGTCTCTCTTTCTGTATGTCTATGTCTCTATCATACTCAGTTTCTTTCTGATCATATCTCCCTCTCACTCTGTATGCTGCCATTATTTAAATATTTTCATTTGGTCTACTCCTCAACCAAACCAATATTTGATTTGGTTTTCTTATCAGTTCTTTTATCTGTTTTCCTCTATTTAGTCACGTGTATCTATGGCACTTTTTCAGCATCTAGATCTCCCTCACATGTCATTCTTAGCTTCACTTCTCTCCTTGATTACCTGTCTCTGACCCTATCAATTTCCCTTCCCACTTCTCATTGCCCTAGCTTCCAAAGAGACACAGGTTTGAGTATCAGTTCTGTCTTATCTCACCAGGGCTAAAATTCCCTTTTCCTTCTCTGGAACTCCTGTGCTTATCTGTAAAATGGAGATGCATATTATTCCTTTTCACAGCACTGGTATGATGAAATGGTATTAACTCCAAGCATGGCACCACGATACATAGTCCACGATACTAATCTGTAATATATGAAGACAATAATATTCTTTTCCACACCTACAACCCAAATTACAAATCAAAAAACCATTCCTGAACCATTCTTCTCTTTCTCCATAAAGGTCCTAGGAGCCTTCTTCCCAATAAAGTCCCCTATGGGGAAGGAGTCTGAGTCTCATGACCAACTCCAGCTCCATGCCTTACCCACAACCCCCACACTAATGTGGGTGCACACTTCTCCAAGGCAGCAATAGTTTCCTAGAACTCTCATGAGGTTTTCAGCTCCAAAGCAGGCCTTACTTTTCAGCAGTGACTGAGAGGCCTGTTCCACTGGCACAGTGCAATGGTTCTAGAAAACAAGGGGTATTGTTGAATAGGTATCAGGGTAAAACAAGTGGTCTCAGACTATGTCTCTCCCTTACTCAGAAATTTTCAAACATTATCCTTAGTCAACAAGATCCTCAGCCTAAAAATGGAAAATGTTACAATATCGACCCTGAATATCCTGTTTCCATGTTCCCCTAGGGAACCTACAAGGGCCTGTTTTATGATTGTTCATGTCTTCAGTATTCTTTATCTCTGCTTCTGCTTTGCCTACTTCTTGCCTCCCTAGCAGGGGCAATACGAAACCCTGACCTTCAGAAAAGTCAGGGTGAATTCTAGTTCTGCCTCTCACAAGATTATGTCCAACAAATCTGCTTCGTTCTTATGGTTCTCAACTCTCTCAACCTATGGAGAAATGAGATGGTGATTGGCCCACAGCCTACCTTCCCTTGATTCCTCACATAGAACAAGGCCAATACAAACTGCATGTCTTTATTCTTAATGCCACCTCTGTGCCCAGAACCCCTTTCTCCTATTCCTTTTTCTTTCCTTATACACTACAGCATTGCTTCTAATACTTTAAAATTTGAATTAACCTAAGTATCCATCAATAAGAAACAGTTTAAGAAAGTATATCCTTAAAATGTTAACACAAATGAACTATAAACCTTATAAAACAATGTTTATCACATTTTTGTCAACAAACAAACAAAACACCCAACTACAAATGTGGTATCATTTTTAACCAGATTGGCAAAAATTTAAAAAAATGTACTGATATCAAGTGTTGCCAAGAGTATAGGGAAACAGGACATCTTGCAAATTTATCTAACCACTTGCAGGGAGGATAAATCAGTACAGCCAACAGGAAGGACAAATTATCAGTATCTAATATAATGCAGCTCTGGTGGCTTAGTAGCAAGGAACTGTGTTGCCAACACAAAGTTACTCAGTCTGAATTCATCAGCTACTCTGTGGGAGAAAAATGGGCACTCTCCTCCCCTGCGATTTACCGCCACTGAAAACCTATGGGAGGGTCAGCTATGGATTAGTTCTAACTTAAAGGAAAACAACATAATTCAGTTGGTTTTAAGTGTCGTCAAGTACAACTCGTGTGACAGGTATGAATTCTGTCTTATTCCACATCACCCTCATTATCTCTGGCTTACTTGAGCCCACTGCTGCACTCAATTGTGTCAATTCAACTCACTGAGGGTCTTCCACTTTTTCACTGACTTTTCCTTTTATAAGGAACATCCCCAAAGTATGTAAGATGAAGCTTTGCTATCCTTGGCTCTGAGAAGCACTCTGACTATAATTTCTCCAAGATAGATCTGGTTTGGGTTTTATTTTTCATTATTGTTATATATGAAATAATTTTGTTAATTTATTTTTTTTATTTTATACTGGTTTACATACAAAGTTGATAAAGTTAGTATACATTGCTTTTCACACCAGATCTTTCCCCTTTCCTACACCCATCCCTCCCCTCCACTGTTCAAACTGTGTGACTCTATGATTAAGTCTTCCCCCCTTGGATCCTCATACTCATTCTACAATAATGGTTTTATACAGTATTTGTCCTTATGAGACTGAGTTAGTTCACTTAGCATAACGCTCTCCAGTCCCTCTTATGTCAGGAAGTTATTCACAAAATCATTGGTCCTGTATGAAACCAAAGGGTTGTACAGTTTGGTGGGTGGAGGGAGGGGGGTGAAGGAAATGAGATCCTACAGGGACTTGAAAAGACTGAGTAATAATGGGCAAGTTCCAAAAGTGACTGATTTTTTAAAACAATGCATGGGAATGATTGTATGAAACACAGTATGAATGAAGAATAGTGTGAAACACAATGTATACAAACGTTGTGAACAAACAAACAAAAAGTTGAACATAGAAATATACCCAAAGAAATTAGAACTGAAATACAAATGGAGATTGGTTTTACAATGTTCATATAAGTGTTATTCGTCATTACGAGAACATGGAAACAGCCCAAAAGTCCAACCACAACCAAATACACTAAGAAATTGTGGTACAATCACATAATGGAATACTATGCAGCACTTTGTTGTACATATGACAGAAGATCTCAAAAGGCAGCACGGAAAGACAAAGTAAAACTATTACAATGAAATGTGCAGCTGGAGTCAGAAAATCAAAAGGGCAAAATTTGCTGTCTGTCTGATACTTCTCTAAACCTGAACATTCAGATTAAGACAGACTAGGAAGAAGGACTGGCCATCCACTTCTGAAATAGCAGGCCTCTGAAAATCCTATGTACAACAAGAACACATGTAGGTAACACAAAGGGCAACTGAGGTTGAGCTTTCAACTATGGAAATACAAAGGAAGAGGAACAGTTGTAAGCAGACACTAGTGATTGGGACATGGAATGTGAGAACCATGAATGTAGGAAAATTAGATATTGTTAAGGAAGAAATGGAATGCATAAATAGCGACAACTAGGCATGGGGTCATCTGCCCAATGAGATGAGATGGACTGGAATGGGGCATTTTGAGTCGGATGATCATATGATATATTACTCTGGAGATGAAAAGGTGAGGAAAAATGGAGTTGCTTTCATAGTTAAGAAAGCCATTGCTAGGACAGGATAATATCCATACGTATACAAGGAAGGCCAGTGAATACCACTATCATTCAGATATATGCACCAACAATCAGAGCCAAGGAAGAGGAAACAGAAGATTTTTACCAACTTTTACAGTCGGAGATAGATCGAACATGCAATCAAGACGCATTGATAATAATGGGTGACTGGAATGCAAAAGTTGGGAATAGAGAAGATTCAGTAGCTGGAAAACATGGACTCAGTGACAGAAACGGAGCCGGAGAGAGGATGATAGAATTTTGCACAATCAATGACTTATTCATTGCAAATATGTTTTTTAAGAGACATAAACGCAGGTTATATACATGGATTTCACCTGATGGCATGCAAAGGAATCAGAATGATTACATCTGCAGAAAGAACCGCTGGAGACATTCAATATCAGCTGTGAAAACTAGGCCAGGAGCTGATTGTGGAACAGACCACCAACTACTCATATGCAAGTTCAAGCTGAAATTGAGGAAAATCAAACCAAGTCCACGGGAACCAAAATATGACTTTGAGTCTATCCCACCTGAATTTCAGAACCAGCTCAGGAACAGGTTTGAGGCCCTGAACACTAATGAGCGAAGACCAGATGAGTTGTGGGAGGATATCAAGAGTATCATCCAGGAAGAGTGCAAACAGTCATTGCAAAGACAGACGAGGAAGAGAAGACCAAAATGGATGTCAGAAGAGACTCTGAAAATTGCACTGGAGTGCAGAGAAGCCAAAGCACAGGGAAGAATTCAAGATACTAAAGAGTTGAACAGAAGATTTCAAGAGGCAGCACAGGATGACAAAGTAAAATATCACAATGAAATGTGCAAGGAGTTGGAGTCAGAAAATCAAAAGGGCCAAACTCGCTCAGCATTTCTTAAGCTCAAGGAACTGAAGAACAAATTCAAACCTAGAGTTGCTATAATCAAGGATGCTTTAGGCAGAATATGAAATGACCCAGGAAGTATTAAAAGAAGATGGAAAGAATATACAGAGTCACTGTATCGAAAGGAATTGGAAGACACAGAAGAATTTCATGAAACAATATATGAGCAAGAGCCTAAGGTGATGAAAGAAGAACTTCGAGCTGCTTTGAAGGAATTGGCAAAAAATAAGACCTCAGGAATAGATGGTATACCAATTGACAAATTTCAACTAAAAAATGCTGCCCTAGCTGTGCTCACCAAGTTGTGCCAAGAAATCTGGAAGACAACCATTCGGCCAACTGACTGGAAGATACCTATATTTGTTCCAATTCCAAAGAAAGGTGCCCCAACAGAGTGTGGAAATTATTAACAATGTCTCTGATATCACATGTAAGCAAGATTCTGCTAAAGATTACCCAAAAACAACTGGATTAACACGTCAAAAGAGAACTGCCAGAAGTACAGGCTGGGTTTAGAAGGGGTCCTGATACTAGAGATAATTGTAGCTAATATTAGATGGATCTTGGCTGAAAGCAGGGAGTACCACAGGATGTCTGTGTTTCACTGATTATGTGAAGGCATTTGACTGTGTGGATCACAACAAACTGTGGCTGACTCTGAGAATGGGAATCCCAGAAAACTTGACCGTGCTAATGCAAAACCTATACTTAGACAAAGACGCAGTCGTGACAACAGAGCAAGGAAATAATGCATGGTTCAAAATTGGGAAGGGTGTATGCCAGGGATGTGTCCTATCTCCATACCTTTTCAACCTATATATGCAGAACAGATTATCTGGGAGGCTGGGCTCTATGAGAACTGTAGCATCAGGATTGGTGAAGATTCATCAACAATCTGTGTTATGCAGATGACACAACCCTGCTTGCTAAAACTGAGGCGCACTTGCTGCAGAAGGTCAAGGACTGTAGCCTTCAATATGGATTGAGGCTCAACATCAAGAAGACAAAGATTCTCACCACTGGGCCAATTGGCAGCATCAGGATGGATTATGAAGAGATTGAGATTGTTAACAGCTTTAATTTGCTTGGCTCCACAGTCAACACTCTTGGCACCAGCAGCCAGGAAATTAAAAGGCACATTGCCATGGAAAAGTCTGTTAGGGACCTCTCCAAAGAACTGAAGAGCAGTGGCGTCACTCTGGAAACTAAGGGGTGCCTGATACAGGCCATGGTCTTTGCAATCACTTGCTATACATCAGAGAGCTGAACAATGACTAGGGAGGACAGAAGGAGCTGTGGTGCTGGAGAAGAGTACTAAATATACCACGGACTGCTAAGAAGAAGAACAGATTCATCCTGGAGAGACTTAAACCAGGCTGCTCCTTGGAGGCATGCATTTTGAAACTTCATCTGACATACTTTGGACATGATGCAGGGAGGAACTGACAAGTCCTTGGAGAAAGACATCATGATTGGGAGGTTGGAGGGACAGTGCAGTAGAGGAAGACCCTTTAGGAGGAGGATTGATTCAGTGACTGGGGAATGGGGGTAGGTGTGTCAGAGACAGTGACACACACGAGAGTTTTGGAGACAAATGCTTTCATTCCTTCTGAAAGTCATAGTGTATGTAACTCACAGAGTTTACATCTTTCCAGGCCTGCTTTTCAGTCAAATCCCGTGTGGTACGAATTAGCTGCTACATTTGATACCATTGGTAGTAAGTGGTACATCTTTCTATGAAACATACTCAGTACACAAAGGAGGGTTTAGGGCTGTTGTACATAGGGTTGCTATGAGTCGCCAAGTGACTTGGCAGCACATAACAACAATAACATGCAGTACTTAGGAACAACAATTTTGAAAACTACTATATAACATGGGAGAGACTAGAGTGAACTCACTCAGTCTCATAAAGACAAATACCACATAAGAACATTATTGTCAAAATAGAAGGATAACTAATAAAACACATATGGGGACCCAAGGAGGGAAGGTGTGGGAGTGGAAGGCTGAGGACGGGTAGGGGCTAAACCACAGGGCTGCACAATTTGGTGGGTGGAGGAAGGGGGTGCAGGAAATGGGAAGGATCTAGGGGGGAACTTGCAAAGACAGGGTAATGATGGGCATGATCGAACGTTAATTTTATAAGACAATGAATGGGAATGATTGTATGAATCACAATTTGAATGAAAAATAGTGTGAAACACAATGCATACGAACTTTGTAAGCAAATCAATATAAAACTTAAAAACAAAAGAGTCTCGTCCTAAAGTCAAAACTCAAAGTTAAATTATCAAAGTGCTGGCAACTCTGATCCAAGTCAATACCCCTCCAACTGTGGCCTGACAGAAGCTGGATGACCCTTTCCAGACTTACCAAATTTTTATTCTGATGCTGGGTACTGGCCTTGAAAGGCACAGTTGGCAGCTCATTCCGAAGGTAATCCAGCCACTTCTCCACAATCTCTTTAGGGACCAGGTCTGGGGAAAAAAAGGAACAGATGGACTAGTGAATATATTACCTCTATGGCTCACTCCAAAAAAAAGGTTCACAATCAAAGCTAGACAAACCGATAGATATTTCTGCTAGTCTCTGGCTCTTTCAATCCTCCAATTTTGAGCTGGAGTCAAAAAGGAGTTTGAACTATTAGATCAGCTAGCCCTTCTAGAAGCTAGCTGTTTGGTCTCAGATAACTCTCCTTCCAAATGATGACTGTGCCAGAGGCCTCCTAGAAACTTATTCATTCCTTTTCTAAAGCATTCTGTTGGTTGTGTTGAGTTGATTCTGATTCACAGCAACCCCATGTACAAAAGAACAAAACATCAATTGATTCTGAATCATCTTTGCAATTACTGCCTGGGCCTGAGCCTTAGTCCACTCTTGCAGTATCCCTTCTTGTTGAGGGTCTTCTTCCCTTTTAGCTGACTCTTTACCAAGCATGATGTCTTTTGTCAGTGACTGGCCTCTCCTAAGTATGTAAGACAACCTTACATCTTCAATTCCAAGAAAGCTTAATCTCTTCTAAGACAGGTATTTGTTCTTTTTTGTAATCCATGGTGCATTCAATATTCTTAAAAAAACAAGTGAAAGACATCAAATCTTCTTTAGTCTTCTTTATTCACTGCCCAACTTTCATGTCCATATGAGAGGCTACTTAAAATTCTATGGCTTGGGTCAGACATACTTTACTCATCAAAATGACATACATTAGCATTTTAAAGAATTCTTTTTTTTTTAATTGTGACTTGAAAGTTTACAAAGTATACTAGTTTTTCATTTATTCAAACACATTTTGTTTCATAATATTATAATACCCAAAATATCTTATTATCTCCTTACCATGTATTGCCTTTCTCTTCACCTGTCTTTATTAACTTTTATCCCCCTCTTTCCCTCCATCCCATTCTATGGTAAGCATCCACGAATGTTTCAATCCACTATTATAAAAAGCTAAAGAAAGGTTTATACACAGAGGGAAATAAATAAAGTCCTAGGAAATAATGGAATACCAACTGAGGTGTTTCGGAAACAGTGAAGAGGACCTGACGCAGTTACTAAAGAATATAAAAAACTGTATGAGGAGGGGGAAACTGTCTGAAAGGGATATATTATATAAGGCATTTTACGTATGACAACAATCTGCTACAAGAAGTGTACTGCAAAATGGACTGGGAGAGTGGAAGGGAGGCAGAGAGGAAGATGTACAGCTCTCAATATGGGTCACATCTCAACATCAAGGAACCAAAACTTTAAAAAAAAAAATATCACCACTGGACCAATAGGCAAAATCATTAATAAATAAGGAAAAGATTGAAATTGTCAAGGATTTCACTTGACTTTAATCCTCAAACTTGCATGGTAGCAGCAGTCAAGAAGTTTAAAGACTGAGCAAAAGACTGATCTCCAAAGTCTATCAAAATGCCGTGGATGCTTGTGAGCTGAAGGGACCAGTCCAAGACTCCTTCATTCCCATCAGGTCTGTCCAGCCCCCAGCTTCACATCCAGCAAAAGCCTGATCTCTAATGCCCACGGAGACACTATGAACGCTCATGAGATGAGGAGACCTGCCATTCCAAGACTCCTGTCCAGTCCCTAGCCCCACACTCAGCAACGTTTGATTTCCTACACCCATGGAGAGGCTATGGATGTTCATGAATTGAGGAAACCCACTATTCCAAGACCCTGTCACTCCCATCAGGGTTGTCTGGCCCCTAGCCCCAGCAAAAGCATGATCTCCAACACCCATGGAGAGGCTGTGGACAGTTGTGAGCTGAGGAGACCTACCATTCCGAAATCACTATCATCCTCATCAGGACTGTTCTGCCCCCAGCACCACCTGCAGCAAAATCCTGTTCTCCAAGGCACACAGATGCCCTGGACACTCATGACTGAGGACACCTGCCATTCCAAGACCCTCATTATCCCTCTCAGGTCTGACCAGCCCCAAGCCCTACCCCTAGAGAAAACCTGATCTCCAAGGCTGGCCTTCAAGCCCTTGGGCTTGAGATCCTCAGGCCAAACAGGAATCACAAACATAAGACATCCCCTTCACCTGAGACATATCCTGTGCACCTCAGCTGGAAGGCTCTAATACCCAGCAGCCACAGGAACATAGTCCAGGAACAGAATATTATTGATAAGGACCTTCCCTCAGAACCACCAGAGAGAACAGTGATGAGTTGAGGAACCTACCCCTGCTACCCCTCAGACCAAAGAGGACAGCAGACATCAGAAGAGAGGGCTGCAATCAAGTGAGAGATTCTCTTGCAAAGCCAGCATATTGAAGAGCTAGGAAGGGAACTGCCTGTAGTCCTCATGGCAAAAACTACTTCAGTTGTTGAACATGGCTGCGCCACTCCACAGTCCAAGGAGGACAAGAATCTTCTCAGGTGACAGACTAACTCTCAGAACCAGCACATTGAGATATGAGAGAGGGAGGGGTCTACAACTCCCCAGGAGAGGAATTGTCTCAGTTGGGGAACATTGCCCCAGGGGCCAGTCCACAGACCAAAGAGGACATCAGACTTTAGGACAGGGAGCTACAATAAGGAAAGATTCCCACAGGCCAATACCGCAGATCATAGAGGACCTAAAGACCTTTAGGAAAGGCAAACTTTACAGCTCCAGAGGTAAAAAAAAAAGGCTGCTGGAAGAGCAAGTTCCCCACCTAACAGATGGAACATATTAAGCTTGAAACTAATTAATACTCTTATAAAGTTAAATAACTATAACTAACTGATGCAGACATAACAGAAACGGCCCAAGACATACCAAGAAAAGGTTCACGTCAAGAAATCAGCAAGTAGCCTCAAACATGGTGTGTGTGTGGGGAAAGCCTTCCTCCAAATAAGCAGAACATACTCCAGACTCAATGAATACTCCAGAGAAAGAAAGGCAGAAGAAATATATTGACATGGTGTTATATGGATAGCTCTAGAACAAGGTACAAACTATGGAATAAAGAATGGAAGCTACAAATAAAGTGAATTTACCAGAGATAGGGAGCCAGATGAAACATGTTGATGTGGAGTAATAGGAACAGCCACAGAAGAAGGTGCAAATGATAGCAGAAAAGTTGGAAGTCATAAATAGAGCAAATACTCCAAAAACAGGGAGTCAGAGGAAATATACAGACATGGAGGCATATGAACAACAGCGACAGAAATTTCAAATGATAGAAAAAAAAGAAATTAAAGTTTAGATTAAAAAGTACAAGACTTTATGAAACCATAAGACAGAGAAAGCACAGACAACACAGCACTGGAAAGAACAGAAACACATGAAAAAGCAATCCAGAATATCAAAACCAAAATAGCAGATGTTTCCAATATGCTGGAGGGACAAAAAAGCAGAACAGATAAAACAGTCAGTGAGTTTGAAGAAAAGAATCTTAATGGGAACATATTAGAAGAAAAAAGAGAAAACAAAAATGAAGAGAACATTAGAATCATATGGAATAAAAAGAAACAATATACATATGAGAAAGAATTGAGAAAATTGTAGAAAACTTCCCTGATCTCAGGAAGAATGAGAAGAAAAACATTAAGAGATTTCATAGTCAAATTCTCCAAAATCAAAGGATAAAATACTAAAAGCAGAATGAGTAAAACAGAGTCACCTACAAAGGAGAACCAATTACATTAAGTTCTGATTTCTCAGCAGAAATAATGCGAGCAAGACAACAATGAGAAGGCATATAAAGAAGGATCAAAGAAAATAACTGCCAGCCAAGGATCTTGTACCTACCAAAGCTGTCCATGAAATATGAAGAAGAAATCAGATCATTTGCAGAAAAGCAGGAGCATAAGGAATTTGTGAAAACAAGAACAAGTCTAAAAAAATTCTAATAGAAGTCCTTCATACAGATACTCCAAAGGAAAAATGGATGAACCATAGTAACCAGAAATAAATCAAAGTGGCAGTGATAAAATCTGGCCTATCAATAATCACGCTTAATGGGAATGGGTCAAACGCACCATTTAAGAGAAAAAGACTTGAAGAAAGGATTTAAAAAAACCCCACAAGCCGGAAGCCGCCGCCAGCCGGGCTGGGAAGAGCAACAGTCGGCCAGCCACCGAGGAACTCCAGAGGAGCAAACACCGTGTAACCCCAGAGGAGCAACGACTACCCACCCTCCAGCCCGTGCCTGTGTGACCCCCAACACAAAGAGTGCTGCTGCATAAACGTGCAGGAGTGCCCAAGCCCTGCCCCCTACCTCTTGGTGGTAGTGCCCAAGCCCTGTGCTCCTTTGCCCCCTTAATCCCTTGCTTCCCCCCCTTTCTCCGACCCCTCCCCCCCACTGCAGCTCCACAACAACGAACCTCAGCCCACGCCACAGCCCTGTGACCTCAGGGCACCACTGCAGATCCAGACATCACCCAGAGCTATCAGCCAAGCTGCTGTGAAACTAATCCGGCAGGAGAAAGGCCGGTAGGATCCTGGCTGGGTTTACTGGGGCATTGCTGATTACCTGATTACCTGGAAGAGCACCTAAGGGCGTGCCCACTGGTGGGGAATTTGGCCGAGCTCTCTTGGGCTACACCAACTGCCCAAAACGAGCCAGCCAGCTGGCTTCTCTGAACTCTGCAGACCAGCCAGAGCCTAGTGGGTTGGTGGGAATTTGACCTTGACTCTTCAGATCCTGTCAGATCTAGGACCCTGCTGGAGCAGGGGCTGCTGTGTGAGGGCACCTGTGTAAGTGCCACTAAGCAGGGAACACTGAGAAAACCACTGGGTAGGAAACGGACAGCAGGAACTTGAGTAAGGACCCCAGTCATGAGCACACTGAGACAGCAGAGGTTTGAGCAAGGTCCCGCAAGTGTTTGACCTGCACTTGTGATCACCCAACCCTTTGCCTCCCTCATCCCATTTGGCTCCACACCACTGCCTACACAACTGGGCAATCAACTTGGCTTTAAACGGGAGCACCTTGACCTATTTACCAACAAGAGATTGCCCTAGCAGGCTATGAACTGACATTTCTCTGAAGTCAGAAATTCAGAGAAACACACAAGTTCGGTAGCTGCCCAAATGATCTCAAGAGCTTTGTCTTCAGATCAAGAACATATCAATGTCTCGAAGAAAGCAAACTATCCCACACAATACACAAGAGCAAAGCAAGATATCACTCACAAAGGGTGACACAGTATCAGTGGAATCCCTGAAGCCAGAAAGTCTCATGGAACTTTCTGACACAGGATTTAAAACAGGAGTGACTGATATATCCAATGGATAAAAGACAAACTTAATGAATTACGGGATACAACAAGCAAAGACCAGGAGTTGTTCTTATGTGCCATCGAGTCGTTTGCGACTCATAATGACCCCATGCACAACAGCCCTAAACCCGGCTCTATCCTGCGCCAACCACACATGCCTCTGACACACCCATCCCGATTACCCCAGTCACCGAATCAAATCATCTCATAGAGGGTCTTCCCTTCCAGCGCCGTACCTCCACCCTCCCAAGCATGATGTCCCTCTCCAAGGACCCGTCCCTCCTGGCAACATGTCCAAAGTATGTCGGACGAAGCCCCAGAATCCTTGCCTCCAAGGAATGTTGTTGTTATGTGCCACCGAGTCACCTGCGACTCATAGCGACCCTATGTACAACAGCCCTAAACTCCGCTGTGTCCTGTGCCAATAGCACTGTCTCTGACACTCCCATCCCAATTATCCCAGTCACTGAATCAATCCACCTCATAAAGAGTCTTCCTCTACTGCACTGTCCCTCCACCCTCCCAAGCATGATGTCCCTCTCCAAGGACCGGTCTCTCCTCACAACATGTCCAAAGTATGTTAGATGGAGCCTCAGAGTCCTTGCCTCCAAGGAGCCACCTGGTTTAACCCTTTCCAGGACAAATCTGTGTGTTTTCCTAGCAGTCCATAGTATTCTCAATACTCTTCTCCA